TTTATTTGTTTGCATGCTATTTTGTTATGTTGTAAATATTATGCATGCAATCCGGTTTTCGGGTTTTGTTTCCGCGTGGTGTTGGACACAACAAAATCCAAGATCAATATGATTTTAATAATTCAATTGATCACCAATATTAGATTTGATTGTGCATTAATAATCAACCAACGTATATTAAACAGGTTTAGGGTTAATTTGATGTATATATGTATGTTGATCAAAAAGCGCGCATAATATCAATAAGAATCAAGTAGAGGCCTATTTAGGGCGGGTTTGACTTCTCTTAGGTCAAATTCGTACCATCATCCCCGAACATCCAGTCATGGTTGTAGACCACTATGGAGTTAGCAATATCTGTGATTGTGGATGGGGTGTAACCTTCACAATCGTGAACGGTTTACAAGTTCCTATTACTTTTTGGCGACTCTTTTTATCTAACTTCTTTTCCTTGGAGCGCCGCCATGCTTAAAAACATGATCCACATGTAGGGCGAAGTGAAAAATTCCCTACAAGTGTATAAGGAAAGTGTTGCGATTAATACAAAATGGAGGGAGTAGTTGAGGGGTCCAATTAATGAGAAGAAATAGTAAAATATGGTAAGAAGTTTAAAAAAAAATGAAGCAAATAATAAAATACGACCGCAAAAAGAAAATAGAGCAAGTAATAAAATACGGAGGAAGTATGTAAGACCTAGAATAGGAGCAGCATTTTTAACAGCGACCTGACATAAGTTGATTCAGTTGTTAGTTTACTTAATTAGAGTACTTAGATACGTGCATACGTGTAGAAAGACGTGACGGAGGGAAATTGAATAGGAGTACTTTAATGTCAGTAAATAAATTCTCTTTTTCTAAAAAAAATAAAAATAAATAAATTAGTACTTGTATAATTGTATAGTACTGTATACTTTCTATGTTTTTTTATTTTTGTCCTATTGTTTTTTTTTTAGTTAAATTTTAAAAACTTTCATTATAAATTACCGTTAATCTATAAAAGATAGTATAGTAATGAGTGATTTTTTAGATTCGTCTCATTGTATATTTTATTAGTATTAAATTTTTATAATTTTTACGTTTATGGAAATAAAGATATAGAGATTTTCAGATACATTTTATGGATTATACACAGTTAAAAGAGGTAAAAAAAAATAGGGACACGGAGAATAATAAAAACACGGGAAAAAGTGAGTAAAAACTAAAAAGTTTAAATATTGAAGGTCAACTAATGTATAGAGAAACTTTCTTAATTTAGGGTTTTACTCTGATGAATATCTGAAAGGTAAGAGGAGCATCTATCAGTTTGCTGCTCTCACTCAGACTGTTAATATGCCTTTTCAGCTGTCTGTTTTTTTTTGTGCATTAATCAGATTTCATAGTAACTCTTTCACGTGTTGTTTAAGGTTGAAATTAGAGAGTAAATTCCCAAACTAATCCTCCCATTCCTCCTTCCTTCCTCATACAAACTAATTAATTTTATTTTGTTTGAATATGTGAACTTGTTATGTACTCGTACTGTACTAATCAAAGCAAAGCATGAGATCAGTTAATAATATATAAAATGAACCAAACAAGTGTAACAATATCAAAAGTGATTACAAAGCCTCTCTTATTCTTTAAATTTAGATTGGATGGATCTTCACTCGCATCCATCTATCACTTTCAATTGCTCAACTCGATCTGTTTGTCATCCGTGGATTACACATGCTTATTGAAATTACTTGTGCACATTTTGAACTTGACAACCCTTTTTATTTCACTCCAGAGTCCAAACCACCCCTAAATCATGAACTTTAAAGTTACATGGTATGAGTATGTATTTAATAAATTGAGGATATAAATGTATACAAAGTATTGCATATTATAACTCTCCAAGGAACAAATTTTTATCATTATCTTAATCTATTTAGTTTTTTTATACTACTTCCGTTTCATATGATTTGCAACGATTAGACATTTTCTACTCACACTTTATATCAACTTGTTACAATTAATATGAAATAATCAATCAAAGTCTTAATCCCATAAGTGAAGTCGACAAATAATATGAAACAGGGAGAAGTTAAAAACAAATCAACCGATTTTCGATATAAATCAATAACTGGCCTGTAGAAGAAGACATATTATTTGCCTTTAATCAAGTCAATTTCCTTTGTCATTTACCAGTAGGTTTGCTCACGGATTTGTCTTCAACAAAGCCGATGGAATCTTTTCAATTCGTCCTGATATACATACTTCACATTGTTTATACACTCTATTGCACAAGGAAGAATTATACAATGTTGTAAACTACTCGTAATACACCTGTATTCTTAGTTTATTACCCTTTCCAAAAAAATAAAATAAGAATACTAGTGTGGAATTGTTTAAGTTATCAACAATACTTCATTACACACTTCTAAATAATAGCACCATCGAACTATTTTGTTGGCGATAACAGATGATACTATGTAATTAAAAAGTAACAACCATGTAATCGCAATAAGATGTCGAGTGATAGCACAAGTAAAACATCTTCCAGGGTCCTAAAAACGTGTTACATTGTTATAAAAATAAAGTTGGATATTGCCAAGCATGTCATCATAAGATCATTCTATGACAAAAATGATGTAAGTACAAACTTAATATCATTATCGACCATGTAAGCAGCATGCTAATTTTGCGTTGCCTTAGGCCATTTTCCTTGTAGTGAACATACCGTGAAAATCTTCTTTTTTTTTTCCTTTTTCATACAACAATTACTTCATATTTGGTTATCTACTTGTTTGACTTAAATCATTATATTACAATACAAGTATACAAACTCAATATGGCTGCACTAGCTAGTTCACGGTTACTTAGGATTCTTATGCAAAAATCAAAGCATTGAAGCATTTATGCATGACATAGAATTATAGATGAAAATTAGTAAAGTCTCTCCGGTAATGATGAAGCAAAAGAAAGGAAAAATAAAGGTGTACGACAATACACAAAGTCATCGGGGGCCCGGGAGGATTAAGTTGTTTGAAACAAACATGGACAAAATCTAAAGCCAACTCAAAATTTTCTGTTTTATGGAGTCTTGTCTACAACTACTCCGTAGTTCACTCTCTTTCTTGGCAAATGGAATCAGTATACTGTATACGAATACTAACAAAGGGTTTTCAAGAGGAGATTTGAATAACCTAGTAGTAGTACAAATAAGATACACCCTTTATATTTTTTTACGTGTTACACTTTGATAGCCATATACTCCATATAGTTTAGGAGGTTGAGTTGAAATGTGCCGATCAAAGTATACTCTCTCTGTCCTCATTTTTTTGCCCCATTGCAAATAAATGGGTCAAACTTTAAAAAATTTGACCACAAAAATCTATCAATTAATCAGAGATAGTATAGTTATATAGGGTCTTGTTAGATTTGTCTCATTGTATAAGATATCCTTACCTTTTTAAAATTATGAGTAAACTCTTATGAATAGTGGTGAGACAATTATGCCCCTAAAAATGTTTATTTACATATATACCCCTTTTAAAAGTATGACCATACTTTTATGAATAGTGTTGAGATGATTATGCCCCTAATTAATTACGAGTAAAATGTTTATTTACATATTTGCACTCATTAATGTTATTTTTTTTTTTAACTTTTAAGAAAAGTGTGTGGATATTTATACCTCTAAAGATATTTCTTTACATATTTTCGCTAATTAACGCTACTAACAATTAAAGGCTTTGTTCTTGCTATTGTAACTCTACTAACAATTAATGTTATAACATTATGCCAACCTAAAAGAACTTTCAGAATGTGGCTAGCTATGACGCGTGCATCGCGCGCATTAGCCTCCCTAGTTATTATCAAGTTTTTATAATTTTTACGCGTATGAAAATAGAGTTATATACGTTTTAAGACGCGTCTTGAAAACTGTAAAAAGACAAATGGGGTAAAAAAAAGGGAAAAGAGAAAGTAATAGTTAAAAAAAAAATCATTAAATGTAATGTAAAACTTGGGGGTCATGTATACTAATTACTTTGTATTTCTAAATACTCTGTACTTGTAACAGTTTGACGGACACATTTTCCAATTCATAAGTTTGACCATATATGATTTTTACGCGTAAAAAGTCAAATTATTGCATTGATACTAATCTTCTTCTTCTTTTTTTTTTGTTTTTTTTACTAGTAAAAATAATTCATTAATAAAAAGTCATACGACATCTACAAAGGAGATTTGACTATAATTAACAAATACATAAGATATTGAATCAAATAAAAATTTGATTGATAAAAACTACACTAGTCGAGTAGATCTTGAACTATAGAACATCCCCCGCTTATATCGCTAGAAAATACAGCCTTGTTGGAGAGACAATATAACGATCTTTTGTAGTCATGAGGGTGTTTTCCTTCTAATTCATCTTGTTGTATTCGAAAAATTGATAACCTTTGCGATCTTGCATAGTTTTCCACCAACGAATTAATTTCACGATAATCCATTAGATCTATTATCATGGGTTTAAACCTAAGAAAATTCTCTCATGAAAAGAGAAGATAAACCTTGTCTTTCGAAGGAGATCGAAAAACTCTTGTCTTTCGAAGTAGATTGCAAACCCTTTTTTTCGAGGGAGAAAAGTTCCTCCCAAAAAGAGGAATATTAAAACCCTAGAAAAAATTTAAACAAAGATTGGGGTTTTTCACCGATTAAAACCGATGAAAGCCCCCTCAAAATCAACAATGGAGGCTAGGGTTTAGGAGAGAGAAAGGAGGAAAGAGGAGAAAGAGAGAGAGAGTTTCCATGCATTGATACTAATCTAATAACATACAAGTATAATACAAAAACTTTTAGATTATATTTATAAGAAATTAATTGCCGTTAGAAATTAATATATAAATAACTTATATAGTATAAAAGTCAAAGTATTGCAAGTATTCAAAAACAAAGAGAGTTTAAATTTTCATTTAACACTTCTACCACTTGCAACATGCAGCATTGGATCACTATAGCTTTGTATTTTATTATTTATCTCTTTCACTAACACATTAACACTAATTTTATTTTTAATTTTATTGTTCTTCATTCCCTCCTACTTACAATTCTTCTTAAAACTATGCATAAAATTATTTGTTGCAAGTAAATACAAGGGGAACAACTCAACAACAGTAATCTATATTTTGGCTCTTTAAACATGTCACATGTGCTAGCATTTTGTCATTTACTCAATACATTCTCCAAAGTCCTTAAAAAATATGTTAAACAGTAGTAGACATTAGACCTATCAATACCTCTCTTGACTTTACACTCCCTCCTAAAGCAAATTTCAACATTTTATCTACCTCTCCTACTTCTAGTACTACTATAACCAAACCAAACACTTACTGCCAAGCTCACTCATTTCACTCACTACCCTCCAATGGCTACCTTCTTCTGCAACTCCATCACTAATTTCAACCTCTTCATCACCATTTTCTCTCTCCTCAATACCATCATTTACTCCTCTTCAACATCCTCTGAATCCGACATTCTTCTCTCTTTCAAATCCACCATTAAAGATCCTTCCAATTTCCTTGCTTCTTGGTCCAATACTTCACTTACTCATTACTGCAACTGGACTGGCATCATTTGCACCAATAATAGTCCCTCTGTCACTTCAATCAATCTTCAAAGTTTCAATCTTTCTGGTGAACTTTCCCCTGTAATCTGTAAACTTCCTAGTCTTTCTTCCCTTAATCTTGCGGATAATCTCTTTAATCAACCAATCCCACTTCACTTTTCTGACTGTGATTCTTTGGTAAGCCTTAATCTTAGCAGTAATCTCATTTGGGGTACTATCCCAGAACAGATTTCACAGTTCTCCTCTTTGGAAGAGATTGATTTTAGCAAGAATCATATTGAGGGTAAAATCCCAGAAAATATTGGGTTGTTAAAAAAGTTGCAACTTCTTAACCTTGGTAACAATATACTCTCTGGTAATCTTCCTGATGTTTTTGGGAACTTCACTAATCTTGTTATTCTTGATTTGTCTGAGAATCCCTTTTTAGTGAGTAAGATTCCTAGTGAAATTGGTAATCTGAAAAAGCTTGAACAGATTTTTCTGCAAAATTCTGGTTTTTTTGGGGACTTTCCTGAAACCTTTTTAGGATTGAGTAACTTAAAAGTGCTTGATCTTTCTCAAAATAATCTTACAGGTGAGCTTCCCAAGAAACTTGGTGCTTCATTTGTAAATTTGGTGTCTTTTGATGTTTCAGTAAATAAGCTTAGTGGGCCATTTCCAAATGGGATATGCAGTGGAAAAACCCTAACAAGCCTTAGTCTTCACACTAATCACTTTACTGGGTTATTGCCTGAAAGTGTCAACCAATGCATTAATCTTGAAAGATTTCAAGTGCAGAATAATAGGTTTTCTGGGAATTTCCCAAATGGGTTATGGTCATTGCCTAAGATTATGCTAATTAGAGGTGAAAATAATAGATTTTCTGGTGAAATTCCTGAGATTATATCAACTGCTGTCAAATTAGAGCAAGTTCAGATTGATAATAACAGTTTTACTGGTAGTATACCTAAGGGTCTTGGGTCAGTAAAGAGTTTGTACAGATTTTCTGCTTCAAATAATCATTTATATGGTGGACTTCCTCATAATTTTTGTGATTCTCCTGTTATGAGCATTATAAACCTTTCTCAGAATTTGCTTTCTGGTAAAATTCCTGAGGTGAAGAAGTGTAGGAAGCTTGTATCATTGTCTCTTGCTGATAACAGTTTCGTTGGCGAAATCCCACATTCACTTGGGGAACTACCTGTGTTAACTTACCTTGATCTTTCTGGTAATAATCTCACTGGTTCGATACCAGAAGAGCTTCAGAACTTGAAGCTGGCATTGTTCAATGTATCCTATAATCGGTTGTCGGGGAGGGTACCTTTCTTGTTAGTAACAGGCCTCCCTGCATCATATTTGCAAGGAAATCCAGGTCTTTGTGGTCCGGGGTTGCCTAAATCTTGTTCAGATGAAGGGGAAAAGCACCACAATGTTGGTCTTACTAGAATGGGTTATGCTCTTGTATCTATAGCTCTAGCAGTTGCTATGATCATGGCTGTTTTTGCACTCTTCTTTATTCATCGTCGTGCTAAAAACAAATCTGAAATGGGTGTTTGGCATTCAGTTTTCTTCTATCCTTTGAGGATTTCTGAGCAGGATTTGGTTATGTCAATTAATGAGAAAACTGCAGTAGGCAGTGGTGGAACTTTTGGGACTGTTCATATCATAAGCTTACCAAGTAGTGAGCTTATTGCTGTGAAAAAGCTAGTGAATCCTGGAAAACAATCGACAAAATCTTTGAAAGGCGATATCAAAACATTAGCGAAAATCAGACATAAGAACTGTTGATAAGTATATTAGGTGACTCGTACTTCGTAGCTTTGTCCGCCCGATCGGGCGGACATTGCCCGGTCTGACCGGGCGGAAGAAGAAGAGGTGCCTGGCAAATTCGTTGAAGAAGCTGCTCTCGCGCCCGACCGGGCGAGCCTTCGCCCGACCGGGCGAGCCTTCGCCCGATCGGGCAGACCTTGCCCGGTCTGACCGGGCGGTGGGGGTTGGATACGTTGAAGCATTCGTATGGAGTTTTCTTCTCGCGCCCGATCGGGCAGACCTTGCCCGGTCTGACCGGGCGGAGAAGGAAAAATGCGGAGACGCGGATTTTACGATTTAAAGTTATCTTTTATGTTATCTTTTTGCCCAAGTATCTTTTATTTTAGGGATTAATATAAAACCTCCCTAATATCAGTATTAGGGTTAAGAGAGAGAGTGAGAGCCGTTCTTGAGAAATACAAGAATCATCTTTGTAATCTTTGCAGTTTATAGTGAAATCATTCGATCTCGGTGCCCGTGGACGTAGCTATCACATCGATAGTGAACCACGTAAATTCTTGGTGTTGTTCTTATTGTTTGCATTGAATTTCTTTATTGTTTTCTTGTTTGTTTTCGACCTTTGCTTCCGCTGTCGCACAACAATTGGTATCAAGAGCTCAGGTTCAATCCTTGGAGAGTTTCTTGAAGATAACAATGGCAGGAGATTCAACAATAAGAATTGAGAAGTTTACCGGGAAAAATAGTTTCGGGCTATGGCAAATTAAGATGAAGGCTCTGTTAAAACAACAGCAGATATGGCGTCCGTTGGCTCCAAAGAGTACTACTTCGGAGTCAGGAGACGGACCGACTGACTCGCAGTTAGAAGTTATGGAAGAGAAGGCACACTCTACCATATTACTTAGTCTTGATGATCAAATCATCACGGAGGTTGCTGATCAGGAAACGGCGGCTGGATTGTGGCTGAAGCTGGAGTCATTGTATATGACTAAGTCGTTGACCAACAAATTATTACTGAAACAGCGGTTGTTTAGCCTCCGGATGCAGTCAGGTACTTCCTTACGGGAACATCTAGAAAAACTTAACTCTATTTTGCTTGATTTACGTAATTTAGATGTTAAAATTGATGATGAGGATGCTGCGTTGATTTTACTTGTATCTCTACCGTCTAGCTTTGAGAATTTTGTAGAGTCTTTTGTTGTTGGTAAGGATTCTATAACCTTAGAAGAAGTGAAGGCAGCACTTCATACTAGGGAACTCAGAATGAAAGCTACGAGTGATAATGGGGATAATGGTAGTGGGTTATTTGTTAAGTCCGGAAAGTCTAAAAAGAATAAGGGGTTTAACAAGGGGAACAATGCTGGGTCGGGTGCTGGAAACGGCAAGGATGGATCTAGTAAAACTACTACTAAAACATGTTATTACTGTAAAGAACCGGGTCACTTTAGGAATAATTGTCCGGTGAGGAAAAACAAGTCCCAGGCTGCTGTAGTTGAAGAGAAACCGAATGAGAGCTATAATTCAGAGGAAGATTTAGCATTAGTCAGTTCTGCTAGGTCTGATGATTTATCTGATAACTGGGTTCTAGATTCGGGGTGTTCGTTCCATATGTGTCCACGTCGAGATTGGTTTGATACATATGAACCTCGCAATGGGGGTATGGTTATAGTCGGTAACAATGCTCCATGTAAGGTCACAGGTATTGGTTCCATGAGGTTGAGGACTGTTGATGGGCGGAGGTTAACTTTGACTAATGTACGGCATGTTCCTGCTTTAGGAAAGAATCTGATTTCATTGGGTACCCTGGATGAATTGGGGTACAATGGTGTGTTTTCAGATGGGGAGTTGTGTATTTTCAGAGGTTCTGAGTTGGTACTTAAGGGTATCAAAAGGAACACCCTCTATGTTTTTGAGGGTGTTACACTGCCTAGTTCTGCGGTTTGCGCATCTGTATCTCACCAGGAGATGACTAAGATTTGGCACATGAGGCTTGGTCATATGGGGGAGAAGGGGATGCAGCTATTGTCCAAGAGGGGTCTTCTATCCGGGGTCAAGGTTGCCAACCTTGAATTTTGTGAGCATTGTGTGTTTGGTAAGAAACACAGGTCAAAGTTCAGCAAGGGTGCTCACATTACTGATGCAGTGCTCGATTACATCCATTCAGATTGCTGGGGTCCATCTAGAGTTGAAGGTATGGGAGGTTACCACTATTTTGTGTCATTTGTTGATGACAAGTCCCGATACACATGGCTTAGGTTGCTTAAGTCAAAGGATGAGGCCTTCAAAGTTTTCAAGCAATGGAAAGCTTTGGTGGAAAATCGACAAGGAAGGAAGATCAAGAAGCTACGAACGGACAATGGGCTAGAGTTTTGCAAAGACGAGTTTAATCAGTTCTGTGCAGATGAGGGTATAGGTCGGCATCATACTGTCAGGAAGACACCACAGCAGAACGGTGTAGCAGAACGGGTTAATCAGACACTGCTAGAGAGAGTCCGATGCATGCTCTCTAATGCAGGGCTTGGGAGGAGGTACTGGAGTGAAGCTGTGTTAACAGCTTGTTATGTCATTAATAGGGGTCCTCATTCTGGAATTGATTCCAAGATTCCGTTTGAGATCTGGAGTGGTAAGTTGCCTAATTTTTCGAATTTGAAGATTTTTGGTTGTGTTGCTTATTATCATGTTATTGAGGGTAAGCTGGATCCACGAGCCAAGAAGGGGTGTTTTGTTGGGTACGGGGATGGTGTGAAGGGGTTTAGAATTTTTTCACCTTCGGAGGGTCGGGTCATTCTTAGTAGGGATGTTACTTTCGATGAAAACACCATGTATTCAATTAAAAATGCAGAGATTTCAGATTTGAGAAGGGAAGGAGACAATTTATTACAGACAGATGGGGTACTTGAGGTACATCAGTCTACCATTGCTGATTTACCTCGGGTACAATATATTGATGATGATGCTGATGTTCCAGTGCCGGGTACTCCTGAACCTGAGATTACTCCTACTCATTCTAACTCTGGGGATGAGGTGGAGCAATCTAATCAGGGGTCATCTAGTCAACCTGACACCATTCTTGAGATGCCTAAACGAGTTATCAAGAAGCCTGTTAGATTGATTGAAGAGATGGAGGGAAGAAATTGCTGTGTTGATGCGATGACAGGTTATGCATTGAGTGTAGCTGATGATGTAGAGTCATTTGAACCTGCCACATATAAACAAGCAATTAGTTGTAGTGAGTCTGCGCAATGGCTTGCCGCAATGGGTGAAGAGATGCAGTCCCTTTACAAGAACAGAGTGTGGGAACTGGTAAAGGTACCGGAAGGGAGGAAGCTTGTGGGTTGTAAATGGATTTACAAGAAGAAAGAAGGGTTGTCGGAAACTGAGCAAATACGTTTTAAGGCTAGGCTAGTTGCTAAGGGGTTCAGTCAGGTAGAAGGGGTTGACTTTGTTGAGATATTCTCACCTGTGGTTCGACATACTTCTATCCGTGTGTTATTGTCAATTGTAGCACATTTTGATCTTGAGCTGGAGCAGTTGGATGTTAAAACGGCCTTCCTTCATGGCGATTTGGAGGAGGAGATTCTGATGAAGCAGCCCGAAGGATTCGAAGCTCCTGGAAAGGAACACTATGCCTGCAGATTGCTAAAGTCATTGTATGGACTTAAGCAATCCCCCCGACAGTGGTACAAAAGGTTTGATTCTTTTATGGTTTCACAAGGTTTTGACAGGAATTCATATGATTGCTGTGTGTATCATAGTAAGCTGGATAATGGTTCCATGATTTATCTTTTGTTATATGTTGATGACATGTTGGTTGCCACAAAGAATAAATCTGATATTGCTAGATTAAAGGAGATGCTTAACTCGGAGTTTGACATGAAAGACTTGGGTGCAGCTAGGAAGATTTTGGGTATGGAGATCTACAGGGATCGGGCTAGAGGTAAGCTTTTCTTGACTCAGAAAAGCTACATTGAAAAGATTCTGTCTCGTTTTGGGATGGAAAAATCGAAGCCTATAAGTACGCCAACTACTGTTAGTTGTAAGTTGTCTTTGTCTATGTCACCTCAATCAGAGGAGGAGTTGTCTTATATGTCTAGAGTTCCATATGCAAACGCGGTTGGTTGTTTGATGTATGCTATGGTCTGTACTAGGCCGGATATTGCGCATGCTGTTAGTGTTGTAAGCAGGTTTATGGCTCGACCTGGGAGGGAACACTGGCAAGGGGTGAAAAGGATTTTTCGCTACCTGAGAGGGACAGCTGATATTGGTCTTGTGTACGGGAATGGTAAGGAATGCTTGGTCACTGGGTACAGTGATTCTGATTATGCAGCTGATGTGGATACCAGGAGGTCTGTGACTGGTTATGTGTTCACTTTGGGTGGTTCTGTGGTTAGTTGGAAGTCTACATTGCAGTCATCTGTTACGTTGTCAACTACTGAAGCTGAGTATATGGCTTTAACTTCTGCAGCTAAGGAGTCTATTTGGCTCAAAGGCCTAGTAGGTGAACTGGGTATTGCACAGGATTTTGCTACAGTGTATTGTGATAGTCTAAGTGCGATTTGCTTAGCTAAAGATCAAGTACACCATGATCGGACGAAGCACATTGATGTCAGGTATCATTTCTTACGTACTGACAAGAGGATTAAGGTGAAGAAGATTGGGACTGCTGACAACCCGGCTGATTTCTTCACTAAGCCTGTTCCGTTTAGCAAGTTTAAACATTGCTTAGACTTGCTAAATATTGATTACTACGTGATGTAGTAGGCCCTGAGGGGCGAAGTTGGGGAGCTCCTGGTGTAGGTGTGTTGGCATTAAGGTGGAGCTTGCCCGGGGCTTGTGATGCAGGTGGAGCATTATGAGTTGTTATACTTGGAGACGAGTATGTGATGGGTCTTGGTTGAAGACTTATCGGGATGTATGGCTTATGCATGAGTCCTGCATCGGGTTTGGCTTGAGATGTTTTTTCACTATGTCTTGATGGGGTCGTTTGCTGACTACGAGTTCTCGTCAAGGTGGAGATTGTTGATAAGTATATTAGGTGACTCGTACTTCGTAGCTTTGTCCGCCCGATCGGGCGGACATTGCCCGGTCTGACCGGGCGGAAGAAGAAGAGGTGCCTGGCAAATTCGTTGAAGAAGCTGCTCTCGCGCCCGACCGGGCGAGCCTTCGCCCGACCGGGCGAGCCTTCGCCCGATCGGGCAGACCTTGCCCGGTCTGACCGGGCGGTGGGGGTTGGATACGTTGAAGCATTCGTATGGAGTTTTCTTCTCGCGCCCGATCGGGCAGACCTTGCCCGGTCTGACCGGGCGGAGAAGGAAAAATGCGGAGACGCGGATTTTACGATTTAAAGTTATCTTTTATGTTATCTTTTTGCCCAAGTATCTTTTATTTTAGGGATTAATATAAAACCTCCCTAATATCAGTATTAGGGTTAAGAGAGAGAGTGAGAGCCGTTCTTGAGAAATACAAGAATCATCTTTGTAATCTTTGCAGTTTATAGTGAAATCATTCGATCTCGGTGCCCGTGGACGTAGCTATCACATCGATAGTGAACCACGTAAATTCTTGGTGTTGTTCTTATTGTTTGCATTGAATTTCTTTATTGTTTTCTTGTTTGTTTTCGACCTTTGCTTCCGCTGTCGCACAACAAGAACATTGTCAAAATCCTTGGTTTCTGTTGTACAGAAGATTCAATCTTTCTCATTTATGAATACTTGTCAAAGGGAAGCTTAGGCGATATCCTTGGCAGGCCGAACTTACAGATGCAGTGGAATGTTAGGTTGAGAATTGCCATTGGGGTTGCTCAAGGATTAGCATATCTTCACAATGATTACTCTCCTCATCTACTTCACAGAGATGTGAAATCAGCCAATATTCTTTTGGATGCTGATTTCGAGCCCAAGATTACAGACTTCGCTCTTGACAGGATCGTGGGTGATTCTTTATTTCAGTCTACTTTGGCCTTTGAATCTCCATTTTCTTGTCATGTTGCACCAGGTAATTATACTTATCATGTTGGATTTAAAAACTCACAACAGAGAACTTTCTTTTACTAGTTTCCAAGTATTTGTCTTAGTTTTAAACTCGCAAATTTTTGTAGTATTGATTGTTTGAGAGCTGCTTAATTTAACTTTGCACATTATGCTCATTATACTGCTTGGCTTTCAGAATGTAAATACAGCAAGAAAGCGACAGAACAAATGGATGTGTACAGTTTCGGCGTGGTGCTGTTAGAACTAGTGACTGGAAGGCAAGCAGCAGGATTAATAGATTCAGAAGAATCATCACTCGATATTGTGAAGTGGGTTCGAAGGAAGATCAACATTGCTAACGGGTCTGATCATGTTCTTGACCCTAGGATATCAGTTACCTCCAAAGAAGAGATGCTTGGAGCTCTGGACCTTGGTATACAATGCACTAGTGTAATGCCTGAAAAAAGGCCATCAATGGCTGATGTTGTAAGGGCCCTTCAAACTCTTGGCTCGAAATCTAGCTCTCGACGTCTACCATTTACCTCATCCTCCTCTAATCATGGTTCACTTCCAGTTTGAGAAATTAACAGCAGCTATGACGAAGTTTCAAATTTTAAGTAATATTATGTAAATCGACCTCGATTTACTTGCTGCTTTCTTTAGTACTTCTTGCTAAGCTTGTATCTATAGTAGTATATACTGGTTTGCGATTTTTTGATGGGTTTAAATACAAGTAATAGTTATACGTATGCTGCTGCCCTGGCTCTACTTCGAAACAAAAAATCTGTATTATGTTTTTAATCTGCATAAAAAATTTCAACTAATATAAAGCAGATGTATTTAGTAACACACTTTTTAGGTCAATTTCCATAATAAAGAAAAGGAAATACCGAAATATTGATTTTTAACCACCTTTAAAAAGAGCTAATTTATTTTTAACCCTTGTATATGGTACCACTCAACAAATTCATGATAAAGAAAAGGAATTACCATATAACCTTGTTAAAGGAAATACCGCAATATTGATTTTAACCACCTTTAAAAAGAGCAAATATGTATATGATCAAATGATTAATACATTTGTCCCAAAAAAAAAAAAAAAAAAAAAAAAAACCAAAAATTACCAAAATAAAAATATTATGTGTAGCAAACCAAAAGTTTCCTGTTTTAATAAATTTTTTTATGTAAAATTACCAGCATACCCTTACTAAATTTTACTTAACTTCAATAAACAACATATTAACTCTTTAATCCAAATTAATTTATCCATAATTAAAACCCTAACCCAAATGGGGTTTCAGATCTAAGTGGTGGTGAGGTGGGGTTTTCAATTTGTTGGTGGTGGTAAGCTAGGGTTTTGGTTCGTTGGTGGTGGTGAGTTGGGGTTTTGGTTCGTTGGTGGTAGTTTGTTGGGGTTTCAATCCGTTGTAGGTGGTAGGGTGGTTGTTTCGGTTCGTTGGTGGTGGCTGGCCTGGTTATGTGGGGCTTCGTTCATTGTTGGTCTGGTGACGTGGGGCTTCGTTCGTTGGTGGTGTGAGTTGGTGGTCTGGTGGTGGTGCGAGTTGGTTGGGTGGGTTTTGGGTGGTGGGGTTTCGGATCTTAGTGGTGGTGAGAGGGTGGGTTACAAGGTGGGGTGCCGGTGATGTTTACTTTCTCTTTCATCCAATTAATCACATGCCTTTTTTTTTTTTTACTAATCTTTGCTTAAGAAATTTTGTCTTGGAGATTGTGCAACTAAGTATGGTATAGATAATACGAAATGAAGGCTGTATAAATAATGATTTTGCCACCACTCAACAAATTCCACCCATGAAATTGTTAGTGGGGCCATCACTTAACACACTCTCTCATTTCACCTTCTTTTCCCCGACAATGGATTGGTTTTTTTCGCTCCTCTCCTCTAGTTATGTGTCCAAAACTATATGGCTTAGAAATTCAAGCTTAGATCCACCTCCTAAAATACGTCGCAGACTCTGAATCCTTAACTTGTCGGGCGGAGCAACTGATATTTCTCTGTAATCAATATGCTCTCAATAGACAAGGCAAAATGGTGTTCAGAGACGAATGTGCGTTGCAGCTTCTAATAATGATCATAATACCTAGACGAGCTACGAAAAACCAACTGATTCCGATATAACGACTTCTCTTTACCGGATCCCACGTAAAATTTATTTTCTTTACAAGAAAGTAAAGCTAGAATGCTTCTAAACTTACAATGTAACATACATTATATGTTGCAGATTCAGAACTGTTTAGCTTTCTATCATTTCATTTCATTACATTACATTACGTATATAACTAAAAATGAAAAGAAAAGGAGGGGTGGACATAAAGCCCCAACAGAATCTACAAAGACCAAACTTCGCGGAGAAGCTCATACCTTGAGTTCCCTCCGCAGCCTGTTGGTTCCAAAGATTTCAGACCTGCATTCCCATTTTGCATTGTACGAGGTGATGATTGCTCGATGAAGGATGTTAGTGGGGAATCTAGATCTTCTAATTCTTCATCACTCATATAACCTTTCTTCTGTACCATAGATGCATTCCTTTCAATTTGAGGTTTGCCTCCTGCTTCTGCTACTTTCTCTGAAACATCCCCCGATGATGGAGGGAAGTACGAAACAACAGGAGCTGCATATGGGAAGCTTCCAAAAGCATCTCCAGCTATTTTCCGCTCAACGAAACTCTGCACATTACAAATTGTAATAGGTGATTTACATACTACGTTTTTTATAAGACAGCTTATGATGGCACTCCATCCGTTTTTTAGAAGAGACTATCTTTCAAGTTTAAGCATGATGTGGGCATTTTGAGTTGATTGCTTAAAAAATCCCAAATCATCCAATGCGACTTATTACTAAGAAACTGAGGGAGTTTTACCTCAGCGTTCAGTGCCTCTAAGACTTCTCCAGGAACTGGATCTGGACAGAATTCATCTGGAGTGAAGTAGCACAAGATCCGTTTAATCACACCCAGATTAATAGAAGGGCATACCTGCAAATGTAAGATAAATCAGGTTTGATGAACAAATGATAGGTGGTATGAAAGTCGTGTAATATGTCATAAGTGTACTGAAATTGTACCTCATTCCTAATTGAGCGGTCCATAAGCATATCTTTTGGAAGCATCAAGAGGTCACTCAATTCATTAAGAAGGAAAAAACACTTAGTTTGTGTAGTTTGGGGATCATCATTGTAGGTTTCAGCATCATCATTTGAGATGGAGTCCGTCTCCATGCCAAGCTGATTAGAAAACCACCGAGACCAATTGCCAACCTGAAAAAGTAGTAAATCAGCCAAACATTTACCACAACTTGAGAATTTTCTCAAAAATAATACGAAGCAGGTGCAAACTCTTTCTAGGATGAGCAATTGACATTCTAGCAAGTTGTCTTAAACTATTTTACTTGTTTAGAAAAATAACAGAAACTAATGTTATCATCTCTAAGCCATAATACAATATCAAGTACAAGTAATGCTCAATTTCGGAAATAAGTGTACTGTTAGAATTTTAGGCCAAATTAAAGAAAAATTATAAACAGACACATTCGTCTTTTTCTAGATAGATAAGTTTCATAGGAAGAAAATATATTTTGGTGCTTAGAGATTATAATAAAGTATTAATCATTTGATCATATACATATTGCTAAAAAAATAATTATTTTGAGCACAGGAAATGATCCTATAACATCACTTTTACCGACTAGTAGAAGTAAAGATAAGAGTTAAATGTGAAGCATACAGTATTCTTTAGTTGTGCACCAGCGCCGAAGCTGAAGTCTCCTGCTGGAATTGGTAGAACTCTTGAGTCTACTATAGGATCTGAAACTGGATCAGTGGGAATCTGATGTGCGGATTCCCTTAATATGGCATTGAACATAGCCACATCTAACCTTCCAACACATTGTTCCATCACCTATTCAAGAATCCAAGAACAAAATCTTGCTTAGCAAACAAAAACAATTAAAGATAAGAACACTAGAATGTATATCATGAGGTGCACTAAAGGAGAGAAACAAAGCAACAAGCAAAGATGCTGCATTAATCACATACCATCCTTGCCAATACTGGCAGACAACCACATTCATGCCCTGCAGCACGGACAGGACAAAGCCTCTCGAAAGCACCCTGGAATGCATTTCTCCACAGTTCAATGGAGAAAGTTCCTTGCTGCTGATCTCCCAAGGAGGGACCTAACAATTTTCCAGTTTTCTTTTGGCTGATCAGGTCCTCAACAGGCGTTTGCATATTTGGCGTTAGTGCCTAGAGGAAGAAAAAAACAATGAAATTCGGATAAACATTACATTGCTGCAAACTGTCCCATTATCTAGAAAAGAAAATATAATTCTGAAATTTATTGCACATGCGAAGTAAACTTGTGAATCCAGAAACTTAAAGAGCTAAACCAATAATTTAACTACCTGCCACCACACTGACTCGACGACCCTGGAGAAGATCCACGACTCTATTTTTTCTAAAGCAGAAGTGAAAGTACTGGTCTCTTCCCAATCTTCAAACAGCTGGGTAATCTTATTTACTTGATTCCCATTAGAATGTCCTTTTAATTTCAAAGAGAAAGCATTTCCCTCACTACTTTTACTACTACCATTTGATGCACCAAACCTTGCTGGGCTTGTTTGGCTAGAGATGCCAAATACTTGTGAGATAATTTCCCTCAGAACAACAGTGTTTGAGAGCCAAAAGGTTAACCTTGATCATAAATGAAATTTTTCATCAGAATACAAGTTAACACAATAAATAAATGACAAACAAAAATATCCTCAATTACGCAGAGAATCCACATTTCAGCACTCACCTAGCAACATCATTTCCGCAAGTTCTGCTAACCAATATAAGCCCTGAAACAGTATTTTTAGCAATTGTTGCTCTCTTACTTCGTGTCCAATGTTTGCATGCATGTATATAAAGCCTAGAAAGTCGTCGAGCAGGTGTATGTACTTTGTGAGCGGAGCTCCCATGCTCTGGTATCACAGAATAGAGTGATACCTCAAGAGCAGCAACCACTCTAAGCTCATCCTCTAATTTCTCGATCCTATTTTCCATGACATCAGCTTTCTGTTTCAAGGCTGCTCGTTGCGGCTCTGAGTATGCATTAGCTTCAAGTCCAACAGTATCATCATCACTTCTTATACTTTTTATGTCACTTGAGGCCTCATCAAATATCTCTTGGTTTGTTTCCTCAATAGGCTTATCCTCAGTTCCTTCAGAACATTCAGATGATGAATCTTTTGGAGATACTTTAGAACCACCAGATTTCATAGCCTCTCTTGGTGAGGACCGGGATTGTTTTATCCCCGAGTTACTCTTTTCATGAATAACCCTCGCCTTTGATGAACCCTTGTTTGGAATTTTCTTGGAAACATTTGGAGCTCCTAATTTAACATCATCAGCAGCCTGGATATCATCCTGAGAAGATGTTGAACCTTTTAAAGATTCATAATCAGAATCATCTCCCTTCTTACCCAACTCACTAGAACAATCCTCTAGATCGTCATCCTTGTCTCCAGTCATGGTATCCTGCCCTTTCGGACCTTGACCTGCATCCCCTGACCTGTATGCATCATCCACATAATGTATAACCACATTTTTATAAACTTCAGGGGCCTCTGCACCCACATTTGTATCACTTAAAACACTATTAGATGCTGGCTTGGTACGTGAAGCCTTAGATTGAGATTCTTTTGCATTTGATGGTTTGCGGACATTCTCTTGAACCGGTTTACTCTCTCTTCTGGGTGTTCTCACAGATGGCTTAGTTTGAATGTTTTTTTGAACTTTTTTCTTCTCTGCCTCCCTCATATTGATTCACCTTACCTCACTTATTCAGTAGTATACACAGAAAAATTGTGCAATCAAAATATGCCTTAAAAGATCCTTGGAAAAAGAAGGGAAATTCCAGACACAAAAGAAGGTTTTGCACCTTTATAGTAGATTATCAGCTGATTCTTCTGGCACAAGTCAGGTGTATATTTAATCTGCAAAGGAGGAATAACTTATGATCAGCCAATAAACTCAGACGATTGAAAAAAGGCATGAAATGCACCAACTAGATAAGTATTTCACATACTATCTATTGATAGACGCGATTATGCATAATAAACAGGACATATAATACCATCAAGACAAAAGAATCACACATAAAAAAAATATACATGTAAGCCAGAAATTTCTTAACACGGTGAAAGAGCTGTGAAACTGTGCATATTCAAAATGAGCATTATATATGACCGATTTCTAAAGAGAGCAAAGAGAATATACTCATCAAAGTTCGGGACGCTACATTGTCAAAAAAGGAACTTGATAAAGGTGGAGGTAAACCAAATGAATCCAATAACAGAAGATGGAAAATGGAAAAGAACAAATATATCAAAAATGCTAAACTTGTGGTCTTATGGAACAACTTCCTCTAGTCCCCCACAAAAGGGAATGTATTCTTCAAAACAATATCAAACTTTTACACATTCAAAACAAGTCATAAGATATACGAAGTACAAACTACATATGATTCAAGCCCCTTGGTTCACTTCCTACAGAGTGCATAGAAAGATTGCAATAAAAGTAACTATCAAGTTTCAAAATCATGACTCGAAAAAGGGACTACTCGATGAACTACTATGCTTTTCAAATAGCTTATGAATGATAATATGTAAGCAAATATTAGCACCATTGGACTAAACCTCCCTTGCACCTCGAATTTGTGTTGCAATTGCTAATTACTCTATAAAAAAACCTCTAAACAATCATTTCACCTAAAAAAAGATCAAAACAAAGAAAAAGCAAAAGTACAATAAAAATTCTCCTAACAATTAATCCTAATTTTTAATTTAATTCAAAAAAGGGAAAAGATTGTAGTATGAAGAACATGATTTCATTTTTAATAAAAAAAATAATTTTCAAAAGTAAAAAGGAAACTTCATCAAATCTGGAAAGCGATTGGTCTCTAGATGCAGACTGATATT